CCATGTGAGCCTCAAGGAGCCCAGTGGACTGCCCTGAATCAAACAAGGATCCTGCCATGAGAAGAAATTAAGAGTCTTGCAGAGAGAGCTGGGCGATGGTGGCGCCCACCTTTAATCCTAGCAGAGGCAGAGGCAGAGGCAGAGGCAGGCAGCTGTCTATGAGTTCGAGGCTGCACTGGCCAATGGAGCAAGTTTCAGGACAGCCAAGACTACACAGACAAACAAACAAACAAACAAACAAACAAAGGCTTGTGCTGTGGAATAACCCTCTTGAATGCTGTAAAGATTTGTCACTCAAATTGATTTAATAAAATGCTGATTGGCCAGTAGCCAGGCAGGGCAACCAAACTAAGGATGATAGGAAGGAGAAGGGCAGAGTCAGAGGTCACCAGCCAGATGCAGAGAGAGCAGGAGATGAATGTGCCATGCTTATAAAGGTACTGCCACGGGGCAGAGCATAAATAAGGAATATGGGTTAACTTAAAATGTAAGAGCTAGTTAGTAACAAGTCTGAGCTATCGACCAAGCATTTATGAGTAATATTCAGCCTCTGTGTGATAATTTGGAAAGTGGCTACCAGGTATTGGGAATAGGCAGTTGAAATAGGCAATGTCCATTTGCAGTCTTGCAGAGAAATAGTGACTACCAAGCTCTTACCAAGTAGATAAGGGAACAGCTTGTTTGCCATATGGCATCATCTGGACTGTTAGGTGACTTCCCAGCCCATTTTGGCAGAAAACACCTCAAAAGTGCTGAGGTGGGAGCAAAGATCTGAGGCAGACGTTATCTCCTCTCCTTGGCTCTGCCTGAAGCACAAGTCAGGTGCCACTAAGACCCTGGCCTGGGCCCTCACAGCCTAGTTCTCCCAGGGATGCAACCTCATTATGGGAAACTTGTACCCAAGTCTGGATTATCAGGGACCTTTAGGGGTCCCATGACCACTGGTAAGGCTAGAGAGGAACCCTGGAAGCCCGGTCAAGCTAATTATAAATTTTAAATTTATTTTCTCCTTCTTCTTCTTGCTCTGTAGACTGGGCTAGCCTCAAACTCAGAGATCCATCTGCCTCTGTCTCTGCCTCCCATGTGCTGGGATTAAAGGCTTGAGCTACCATGCCTGGCTCAAGGTTTTTGTTTTTTTTTTTGTTTGGTTTGGTTTGGTTTGGTTTTTTGTTTGTTTTTATTTTTGGTGGGTTTTGTTTGTTTGTTTTTTTAGATAGGGTTTTTCTGTGTAGTTTTGGTGCCTGTCCTGGATCTTGCTGTGTAGACCAGGCTGGCCTTGAACTCACAGAGATCCACCTGGCTCTGCCTCCCAAGTGCTGGGATCAAAGGTGTGCACCACCACCGCCTGGCCTGGCTAAAGTTTTTAAACCCAAAAGTTTGGAAGACATGTAATTCTTTGCACCTCCTTACACTCAAGGAGAGTAATCAACTGCTGCCCACTATGCTGTTAAGAAATGCTTGTCTTAAATACTGCCTGCCTGTCTATTGTTTAACCCTCCTAATAATCCTTTCCTAAGGTCCTCCACAGCAGCCACAAGCAGACCCACTTCAGAGATGAAGAAATTGAGACTTTAGGTCACATAGGTTGAAACCTAGTAATGCCATCCCTTGGTTATCCACAGAGGATTGGCTTTAGGACAACACCATCCCAATGATATTAAAATCAGAGGACACTCAAGTCCCTTATAGAGAGTGGCATTGTGATGGTTTGAATCTCAAGTGTCCCCACAGGCTCACATTTGAATACTTGGTCCCCAGTCCTATACTGGTACCTTTAGGAGGCGGGGCCTGCCTGGGCCCGTCTTTGATAGTTATACCTGAGCCCTGCTTCTTGTCCCACGTTCTCTCTGCTTTTTGATCCACCGTAGTGTGAGGAGTCTCTCATGTTCCCACAGCCTCCTCTGCCATGATAGGCTAAAACCGTCTGGAAGCATGAACCTTTCTTATGTTTCTGTCCGGTGCTGTGGTCACACCAATGCAGAAGCAACTAGTCCAGGTGTGACAGGATCGTGCAGCCTGCACACCCACGCACTTTCCATCGTGTGATTACTGATCACACAGAATATAAAAAAGACTGGCCGTTCCTTGATGCAGGAGCAGGCTCCCTGTGGCCTTTCCCAGACTTCTGGAGCACCAGAAAACCCATGTTCTCCAGCCCAGAGGCCAGGGAGGGACAGACCTGCTTCATTGACAGCTGTATCCAGAGGTTTCTAGAAGTCACTGGAGGTCGGAGTTCCTAGGCTGCAAGTGGGGGAGGTGAATGCTATGATTCCTATACGCATTTTCATTAGCTGTTATCAGTCACGATGGTGGTGTGTTAGATAGAACAGGACAGGGCAAGAGCTCGGGCCACTGTGAAAGCTCAGCCTTCACACAGGGGCCCAAGCAGACCAGCCACGAGCAGATCGAAGCTCCTCTGAAGTGTTAGACAATCCTCAAGCCCAGCAATGCCATCCTATGGGCATCCTTCTCTATCACACTTGGATGCCATTGCAGGTGGTCCTGAGATTGCCACCAGTTGTACCAATCTGGAGGACCTGAGGATAGCAGAATTCTAGAAGCTGGTTGGTTGTTTTTGTTTTGTTTGAGACGTAATTCTTTGCACCTCCTGGCTAGCCAGGATTCTGTGTAGATCAGGTGATCTTGAACTCAGAGATCCACCTATCTCTGTCTCCCAAGTGCTCAGATAAAGGCATGCACCACATCACCATGCCTGGTTAGAGGATTCTTTCTTATGACCCCTTTCTTCTCAATTTGCCCTTTCGTTTTCCATTACACCAGAGTGTGAAGCCATTACCCTTGACTTTATTACACTTTATTACACACTCCTGTCTCCCGTGGTACATTAAGGCCAAGCTTCCAGAAGCCATTATCTCAGATTTGGGCACTGGTGGATCTCAGTAGCGCCTCCAAGGTTCCAAATGCTTTTACCCACTGAGCCACCTCGTCGGCCCGTCGAGATTATTTATATCTACGGTCATCAGCCTCATGTTTTCATTTCTATGCAGCATTACCTGCGGTCCGCTGCAATCTGAGAACTAAATGGAAAATTCCAGAAACAATCAGTTTGTAAGTTTTGAATAGCTCTCACTACAGTATGTGCTTACAATTGTTCTCGCTTAGTATTGTCCTTGTAGTTTGTTGCACAGGACTCTCCTAAGAGCCAAACTGCCACCGTGCTCATGAGTTCAGCTGTGGCTGCTTACAGATCATCACAGCTGGCCTTTGTTGACAGTTGGCTTTTTTCATAGGGCAGTGTCCCCCCCTCCTCTCAGCATGCAAGTCCGTTCTAAGGGCACGAGTCCTCAGGTAAGAGCTAGAGATACCTAGGTTGGGCAGGAGTAGGGAGGGGCTTCATCTATACAGCCATGGGAAGCCATCACCCATGCTGGGTGCGAGCCTTCCTGTGTGGCAGCTTGAGGGTCACCCATGCTCCTGTTTGCAACTCCTCACACATGCTCTGTAAGTCGGCCTAAGGAGCTCATTGGCTCCCCAGGGAGAACCTCGGTGGAAACAAGCTTTGGTTTGTCACCAGGATCTTATGAGCTGAGTAGATGTTGCCTAGTGCCACCCCCACCCCCACCACTAGAGGGTGGCTTCCAGGACATAGCTGTTATAGGTAATCTTTCTTGGTCCTAATTTATAAATTAAACTTGATCACAGACGTGTATTGCCGGATAAGACACAGTACAGAGGGGCTGATGGCATCTGTAGTTTGAGGCATCCTTCAGAGGAATTGCTCTGGCAGCCACCTATATAATGTGATGCTCCCAGCTTGGTTCAGGGGCTTCACTCGGGTGGCTTTCGAGGGGACATGATGGGAGCATTTTCACCATGGAAATGAATGACAGAGTCCTTCTATCCTAGAGAAGCCAGTGGTTAAACACAGACTAGCAGCATATTGCTCTGGCCTTCCCACCAACCCAGGAGGAGGGAGGATGGCAGGACTCTCCTTTCCAGATCTAAATTCTAAGGATCAGAGAAGGCAAGCAACCTAGCAGAGGTCTCACAGCATAAACAGTTATAAGATTCAGACACGCTCTTCTATCCATTTCCCTTACATTTTCATTTCATTTTTATGGCTAAATAAAAGTCCATTGTGTACTACATTTTTATTACCCATTCATCTGTTGGTGGGCTGGTTCCATTTCCTAGCTATCGTGAATGGAGTGGCAATGAACATGGATGTGCAAGCGTCTCTGTCCAGTACAGAGTTCTTTGGGCATAAACCCAGGAGTGGTATGGCTGGGTCACATAATCATTCTATTTTTAATTTTTTTGAGGAGCCTCCATACTGACTTCCATAATGGCTACACTAGTTTCTATTTCACCAACAACAAATATGGGTTCCTCTTCCTCCACATCTTCTCCAGGATTTTCCAACCACCTTCCCCCCCCCCCCCCCCCCCGGAGCTGGGGACCGAACCCAGGGCCTTGCAACCACCTTTTTTTGTTTGTTTGGTTTTGTTTTTGTTTTTGGAGACAGGGTTTCTCTGTATAGTTTTGGTGCCTGTCCTGGATCTCGCTCTGTAGACCAGGCTGGTCTCCAACTCACAGAGATCCACCTGCCTCTGCCTCCCCAGTGCCAGGATTACAGGTGTGTGCCACTGCCACCGGGCTTCCAACCACTTCTTACAAGGTGTAGAATACAGTCCCGATTCCCTGCCACCACTCTTGAGCGCTCGTGCGCGCACACACACACACACCCGCCGCTGCCGCCGCCCCAATCACCTGGACGATACCACACCACCTTTCAACACAAAACACCCTCCCATTTCTCCCCACCTAAACCTTCATTTCAAACTCTCCCTTCCTTCCCTCCCTCCCTCCCTCCCTCCCTCCCTCCCTCTCTTTAGGCTTGGGGACATTCCTGCCTTGTTCTCCCTACACCTCTTCCTGTAGAGGCAGGAAAGCAGCCCACCTCTCCCTCAGTTTACCTGCTCCAGAAGTGTCGCTCGTGTGGCTGCATCCCTACTTTTCCCCATGAAGAAAAGAAGACACCATTTTTTAAGGGTTTATTGGGCTAGCACTTGGTGTGTGATTGTCCTGCCTCCCAGCCAGGCCCCAACAGCTGCTGCAGCAGGGATGGCTGGCCAGAGACTCTGTCCTGAGTGTCCCAAATGCGGCACCTCTGCGTTTTGCCCTAAGTCACTCAGCCACACCACAGTGACTTAGAGCAGCTGGACAGCCTGGTCCTTGGCTTGTCACGTGACCTTAGGAGCATCCCTTGCCCTCTCTGGGCTTTAGTGTCCTTCTCCTCCATGGGAGGGTTTAACGTTTCCACCAGAAGATAGGCCCAGAGGCTGAGAGGTACTTCAGTGCTTAGGAACACTGGCTGCCCTTGCAGAGAAACCAGGTTCAGTTCTCAGCACCCACATGGTGGCTCACAACCATCCCTAATTCCAGTTTCAGGGGGTCCAATGACCTCTTTAAACCTCCAAGGGTGGTACACAAACATACACACATGCAGGTAAAACACTGATACACATAAAATACCTAAGAAAATATTTCAAAAGACATGCCCAGCCAGCGTCCGCTCCCACTCAGTACAACTGCTGCCGCTAATGCAGACAGGGTCGGGTCCCACCTCTGGGACTCAGTGAAGTCACCACTCCTCAAGGCCTTTGTCTCTAAGCATCCATGAGTTTGAACCCACTCGGGTGCCATGGACCCCAAACAGCCAAGCATCCACATTCTCTGGTGTGAGTGGGCCAGCCATGGGCAGCGCACAGGAGAGGGTCAGGAGGAGCTGGGCTTCCCCACTGATGGGTACAGTTTGCGCAGGCTGGAATCCAGGAGGAAGTCTACTGACCTACAAGGAGAGAAGGCATGGTGAGCAGGCAGCCAAGAGTAAGGAAACGCACTGGACTTGGGGAAGAACTCCCAGATGTGGGGTACCAACAGCAACCAGGGTGGCACCCATTTTATCACTCTCCTCCTGCTTGAGCTACTTAGGAAAGTCAAACTTAACTCCCAAGAATAACAACCATTTCCTTCTCTTTCTACAATTGGGGGAAGCCGAGGCCCAGGGGGTAAAGTGATCACTGTGACACTCAGGGCCAGTTATGCCCCACCCACCTCCAGACCCCTCCTCATGCTACACATTGGTCAATTTGGATTGATACCTCCCTCTGGTTCTTTTTGTTTGTTTGTTTTTTGTTTTCCTTTTTGTTTTTCAAGACAGGGTTTTTCTTTTTTCTTTTTCTTTTTTTTTTTAAGATTTATTTTTTATGTATACAGCATGTATGACTGCAGACCAGAAGAGGGCACCAGATCTCATTTCAGATGGTTGTGAACCACCATGTGGTTGCTGGGAATTGAACTCAGGACCTCTGGAAGAGCAGCAGTCAGTGCTCTTAACCTCTGAGCCATCTCTCCAGCCCAAGACAGAGTTTTTCTGTGTAGCTTTGGAGCCTGTCCTGTAACTCGCTCTGTAGACCAGGCTGGCCTCAAACTCACAGAGATCTGCCTGCCTCTGCCTCCCGGGTACTGGGATTAAAGGCGTGTGCATCACTGCCCAGCTTAAGATTTTTAAAAATATATTTCTGTATTTTTTATGTATGTTTAAGTATTCTATTTGCATATATGCCTGCATGCCAAAAGAGGGCATTAGATCCCATTACAGATGGTTGTGAGCCACCATGTGGTTGCTGAAACTCAGGACCTCTGGAAGAGCAGCCAGTGCTCTTAACCACTGAACCATCTCTCCAGCCAAGTCCTACCTCTAGTTCTAAGAGCAAGCACATGACCCAGGGTTGACTAAGCAGAAGGACAATGGCTCAGACACAGGTACCCTGCCTGAACGAACCAATGAAAATCTTCCTTGGGATTTTTTTTTTTTCCTTTTTGGTTTTTCGAGACAGGGTTTCTCTGTGTAGCTTTGCGCCTTTCCTGGAGCTCACTTGGTAGCCCAGGCTGGCCTCGAACTCACAGAGATCCGCCTGGCTCTGCCTCCCGAGTGCTGGGATTAAAGGCGTGCGCCACCGACGCCCGGCTATTCCTTGGGATTTTTGTTATCATGAAAATCTTCCTTGGGATTTTTGTTATCACGATGGAGAAGTTTTCATGGGGCTTAAGACGTTAGAAGAGACAGATGCTGTAAGTCACCGGGGAACATAGCAGGAGAGTGAATAAGACCAACGAGGAGACAAGCTTGAGGATGGGGAGATCCCTGCCAGCATCACTTGGATGCCTGGATCCAGTCATGCCTGAACACATCCCTCCCAAGACTTTGATTTTTCATTTACTTAACAAACGGAGTTTGGCTCACACCACTATCACAGCCCTGAAGGCCACCATTCTGGGCACCAGCTACTGACTGCCTCTGGCTGTTTCACAACAATCTTTCTTTTGTTCAGTGCCCTCGAGGCTCTCTGCTTCCTTTTCTGCCAAAGTATCTGCCACATCATATGACAAGGGTACAGATGCCCTCTCTACTTCAGTCCTGCCTCTGCTGCCATGGTTCTGTGCCCACAGCTCTCAAAGCCCACTCTACCTGCAGAATGACTGGTCCCTGAGGCCAGAAGGGCACCTACCTGTCAATGGGGTGGACGATGACCGGGATGGCCAGGAGCCCAAGTGTGGTGGTGGTCCATTTGCGGACAGCCAGGGGCCAGCGGGTCATAGTACCCAGGACGTAGAGAGAGGCAGCACACAGACGGTTGATAGTGAAGCCTGGGATGGCTACAGAGGCCAGAGACTGCCACACAAAGGTGTCGACCACAGCCAGGGCCATTCTGGTGCTGCGGCCTGCTTCAGGGCTTGGCACCTGGTAGGTACAAAGACATTTAACCCAGCTGGAGCAGAAGCAGGAAACCTGTAGACAGAAGCATGAGGGCCAAGCAGGGGGGAGGACGGAGGGTGAGGGGGTAGCAGGGCAGAAGGAAGCTCGGAGGCGGACTCTGGGCTGTACTGCAGTCAGGGTTGGGGGTGGCCTGCCTACATCCAGAAGAATGACTGTCACTTCCAACCTGGGATGCACTATCCTACAAACAGGATTAGCTTATGGACTGCGCGATGTTGATACGGATAGGACTGTCCCACATGCAAGGCTGCACACTGATCCACACCAGAATGGGGTTGGAAGGGCAAACTCACACTCACCTCTCCTGCCTTCTTGCCTTTGTCTACCGCATCAGCCAGGACGTAGGAGCTGGACACGCCATAGCTCAGCCACACCACCGCTGTAGGCACCAGGGAGCGGAAAGCCTCCCCCACCTCATTAGCGTAGCCTGGAGGGAAAAGGCATTTAATTCTCGGGCCCGCGGGCTGTTCCACAAGGGGGCGCCACACCGAGAGCTGCTTCTAATCCTAGTCTGCTAAACGACAGTGGGGCAGGTGACCTAAGTCAAGTGACTTTTGGTTTCTGGGCTGTGGACTGACGCCGACAATGAAGTCCATGGCTCATTGATCAGTCCCTAGCTGTGGTTCTGGGGATCTGCACCAATGAAGCGACGGGCGGCCAGCGAATGACTGACCTTGGTCTCCACTGACGCTTACGTGTCAAGGCCTCAGTCCACCCTTATTATCAGCACCCGACAAGAGTGCCTGTGTTCAACCCTTTTTGCAGAAGAGGAAACTGAGGCTCCGGAAGAGCCAGGGAATGGCAGGCTGTAGGAGTCCAGATCCTCTGACCCCGTGGCTAGTGCGCCGCCGTCATGGCAGACGGCTAACCATGCACTTGGCTTGTGCCCCCAGCAGCCCCCCCCCCCACAGTGTTGTGTGACTTTGGACAAGTCCCTAGCCCTCTCCTGAGCCCAGTCTCCTGCCCAAGCCGAATAAGAACTAAACCCTTTCCTTCAGACCCCAGCTCCGCATCCCATGACCAGTGTTTCCCAGAGTTGGTGGGGTCGCCGCGACCCTCACTCCCACGCTCACCCAGGTAGCGCACCCACGTGTCCCGGTAGAGGTCGCGCTCGGCGCCCTGCCGCTGCTGCTCCGACATGACTTCCCCAGCACGGTCCGAGTCACTGCAAGGTAGAGCCTCGCCACCACCTCCGTCCCCACCAGCACTGCGCTAACACCAGTCAAGGACCCGCCAGAAGTCCGACGCTGAAGGACAGGTCGGTCTATCGCCACTGCAGGGAGTGTCTGAAAATTGCCTTGTACACCCAAGCCCCTCTCCGAGGCTTGGATCTTGCAGATAGTCGTGTTTTCTCCGAGCAGTTAATGCAAAACTCCCCCAGGCGTGATTAGTTTTTGGAGCGAAACAGGTCGGGGTTCCAATCTGAGGATGGTATCTTAGGCGTGGGAGTTGTTGCAAAGGTGTATTTCTCTAAGCCTCACCTGGTGTATAAACGCGAGGCACGCCAGTATTCGCTACTTTAGACAGTCACAAGGACTAATTGTGACAGGCATCATGTATTCAGCCAACTCGGGTTTGCTTCCTTAAGCTCTTGCACTAGCATCGGGTCCCATTTTACAGAGGGAAAATAGAGGCCCAGAGAGGAAGGTCACTCTCCTGACTCACACTGGGATATGGATCTAGACTAGGTGTTTTCAGGTCCCATGCTCTGAAAGCGGATTCAGCAACCGAGGCAGGCAGAGTCAATGGTGAATGCTCTAGAGAGGTGGGGGCCAAGACCTCAGGCCCTCCCCTGCAGTGCATGCTTATCGTTGATACGCTCTGAGCTAACTGGATCTTCTTGGGGCCAGTCATCAAATGAATGACCAAATTAATCAGGCAAGAAGTCAAGGTTTGGCAAACAGAACTCCAGGGAAATGAGCAGAATAAAAAGGAGGGAGTTAGGGAAAAGCACTCTGGGATAGCAGAGAGGCAATGGTGTGTTCCCTGGAGACAAATTCTAGTGTGTCACCTTGGAGATGTTAGGCTCCCCCTCTCCAAATCCCAGGGTCCATGTTAGTAAAACAAAACGTATGAGGCTGGAGAGATCGCTCAGTGGCTAACAGCGCTTCCCAGAACTACACAGGTGACTCACAGTCACCTGTAACTCCACCTTCAGGGGATCTGACACGTCTGGCCTCCACAGGCATCCACACGCGTGATATACACTCACATAGAGACACACACACACATAAATACAAATTGTCTTACAGCTTTTCAAAAGTCAGACACGGTGGTGAATGCTTTTAATCCCAAAATTTAGGAGGCAGAAACAGGCGGCATTACATGAGTTCGAGACCAGATTGTCTACATAGGGAGTTCCAGGCCTGGCCAGGGCTACATAGTTTGTTTGTTGTTTTTTTTTTAAATCTTTGCAACAATTCCAGGTGGTTAAGAACAGAGTTTCTTCTGTACAGCTCTTTTAGCATTTCTTTTTTTTTTTTTTTTTTTGCCCAGTGACTAAAGATCCGAAAGGTTGATACCGACTCCCTTTGGAGGTCACCGTTTTCAGCCTGCGTCCTCATCGGATCTTGAGGGTCAGGGGGAACAGGGCCCAGCGCGGGTGGGGAAGGTGGATCAGTCTGCAGGCCCTGAAACACCGGCAGTGCTGGAGTGGAATTAGGAGACGGTCCCTAAAACCACGTGACGCTAATCCCCTGCCTCCCTCCCACTTAGTACCCGTTGCAGACGCAGCACACGCTAGCCGCAGCCGGTCCGCGCGGACGAACCACCCAGCACGTCTGGAACCACCGAATGGGGCGGAGCCTCCGCCCTCACCGTGAAGGCTGTCGGGAGCATCTTCATGCCATGAACAAAGATGGCGGACGAACCTCACTAGCTGAACCAATCAGAAGACAACCTGGTAGGGGACTTCGGGGAAAGTTCACGCGAGAGGAGAGGAACAGACCGCCTCTGTGTGCGCACGCGCGTCATCTCAGCCCGAGTCCGCTGCTTGGCTTCTGAGATGGGGAAGTTTGCATCTAGTGTCAAGAGACCGCTCGGAAGCCGGCGACGGGCAGTGAATTCTGCAGCCTTCGCTTTGAAAATTGTTTTATTCATTGGTTAATGTACCTAACAGCATTGTAAACCAAGGCCAGGAAATGCGCCTGAGATATGTGCCTAGATCCTGGGTAGCGTCGGCTCTCCGGTCGCGAGCGCTGCACCTGCTCAGTGCTCCCTCTGCTTAGTGAATGAGTCCTCAGGCTGGGCCGGGGCCTCGTTCCGAGGAGAAGGGGGGTCCCCGCAAGGGCCTGGGGCCGCGTTCCAGGCATTCTGGGCGGTCTGTAACCTGGCGTTCGCTCGCAAGTTGTGTAGGGTCAAGAGCTGCTATTGCAAGGTCGCTTGTGGCCGCCCCGCGCCCCTGGCTCACATGCTTGCCTGACGTGTGGCCACCTTCCCGGGCAGCCTCCCTCCCTGGGTGCTTGTGTTCACAGGCAAGAGGAACCCACTGCTGCCCTTACACGCCGCCCCAGAGAAGGGCCTGCCAAGCCCTCGCTCAGGTCAGGCAGGAGACTGGTTCTCAGGCACTGTGGGAGCCTCAGACTGGGAAGTGCCCACTTCTCATTCTTGGGTAGGGCTGCTCAGGTAGTGGCTTCCTTCGTGAGAGGCTTAGGACCCACCCACAGCCTCCTTGGCCCTTTCAGATCTGTGATCCCTGAGGGTAATTACCCTTGTGCTTTTGGAAGGTTTCACTTTTCCACTGGACAACAGTGGCTAGGTACCCGAGTCCCACAAAACTCCGGGCCCCTGGCAGCCAGTGGGGCCCAGGAGTCGGTGAGGTTCTCAAGGGAAGAGAGAAGCTCTCCATTTGCCTTCCAGTGCTGATTTGGGTCACCCCTGAGACTTGGGGGGCGGGAGAAGATACTCAAGCCTTTTACAAAAAGTTTGGAAGAGCTCTGGATTCCCATCACGTGTTTAGCAGCCGGCTCCCTTGCAGCCATCATTACGATCATGGAGGTTTGTTCCATGTTCATTTCGGAGCAAGTGTCGCCCCAGCAGCTGGCTTCCCTGAGTGTGACATGCCAATCTCTTCCCTTCTTTCTAATTTCTTCCCTGCTGCCATCCTGGGTACCCTTCCCCTCCCTGTCTCAGCTGTCGCTGGACGGGTGAAGTTGGCAAGTCTCCAAGGGTAGACATTTCAGACAGTCTCTGGAGACCCCTTAGCAGTCTGGTGACAAGGACCCACTCTAGCTGTTCGTCCTCTTTGGGAGTCTCCTGTGCGGTCTGAAGTCTTCCCTCCAGCCCAGTTTCTTCGGGCTACTAGATTGTAGGAAAAGTGACTACTACAAGAAACTGAGCGGGGCAGGCCTGCCGCTGCCGGAGGAGCTGTTATTTGGGGGCGGGCGCCCCCTGCTGGTTCATCTTCTCCTCTGCTGCTTTGTCTGGAAGCAGGACCTCCACAGTGAAACTGACTTTCTTGGCATGGATGAAGCTGTAGGTGTTGTCAAACCGCAGGACATCTGAGGGAGCAGAAAAAGAAACATTCAGGCAGTTCCCACCGGGAGGTGACCGAGCAAGACCGTGTGGTGGGAGATGGAGGTGAAGGTAGAATAATAGTCCTCGGCCTTCTGGAACTCAGTCTCACTGGGTTGACAATGTGTTCATAAAGTAGAAAAAAAAAATGTGTGACACAGCACAGGCCTAGTGAGATGAGTCACAGAGAGACTCACATCTGTAACAGCTTGGAAGAAAAAGGCCTTCAAGACCCAAAGTCATGGCTTCTTCAGACCAGCAGAATAATGTTAGGAGCCACAGTGTTTGTGATGATGCTGTCTATGTGTGAAGGCACAGGCTTTGTAGTCTATATGTGTGATCACACTCTTCCTCACAACAACTCTGAATTCAGCAGTAGTCCCGCTTGGCATCCGCTAAAAGGGTTTGATGTCACACAGTGAGGCAATGGCGGGGTTGGACTTTCCCTCTGGTTTGCATCCCTGCCCATAGTCCTGCCTGATTTCAACCCAGGGAAGCCCGGCCCATTCCATTTCTCTGCAGAATGTATGAACCAGGTGCTTACCCTCTAGGAAGAGTACTGGGGTAAGGAAAGGGTGCTCCCTGCATGCCTGCCCATAATGATAAAAGGATGGGCTGTTCACCAAAGGAGAGTTGCCCAAGCAATCTGTGCTGTAATCCATGTACTGGAACACTGTTCTGATATAAAGTGTTGTGATCCATAGACTGGAACACTGTTCTGATATAAAGTGTTGTGATCCATATACTGGAACACTGTTCTGATATAAAAAGAAAGAGCTTAGCTGGACATGGGGGCACACACCTGTAATCCAACACTTAGGAAGGTAAGGAGGTTTGAGACCAGCCTTGGCTATGTACTGTTTGAGTCCAGCTACGTCGACAACGGAGGGGGCGTAGGGGAGAGTGTCTAAGATACATGCAGAAGACAAAAAAAAACTGCAGAACAGTTTGTAACATTTTTGTTAATTTATGTGTAAAAATAATCTTTTGGGGGGAAAGCTTTTTTATTTGTCTCCACTTTGAGGTTCTCTGTGCTAGCACCTGGGAGCGACACTGTTCTAAAGGGAAGGTTTTCTCACACCCTGGGGTGAGCTTCACACTGCCAGACTTTCTGCAAACAGTCACCGAATAAGAGGCATGGTCCTTGCGAGTGGGACTGTGCAGGTCCTTGCCAGGCTTGTTGCAGAAGTGCGCCTCTAAAGGGACGGACAGCACAGCGTTTGGTAGGCTGGCAGGTGAGAATGCTGTTGGCAAGGACAGTTTCCTCTAGGCGGGGGCAAGGGCACAGTTGGCAGGGACAGCTTCTCGGCCTTGGCAACTGAACAGGCTTGCTTTCACCCTCACCCGGTTTCTTTGCAAGCTTGTTCTGTCCCGCTCAAATGCCCCTTCAAGACAGCTAAGCATGAACACGGAAGCTCCAGCATTGCCCTTCTGCGCTGCTCTTCTCTCGCTTTCTCGGGGCCTGTCCCTTCCCTCACCCCGGGATGAACTGCTTTGGGCCAGCAGTCAGCAACGCGCCTACTCCTTTCTCCTGGTGTCAAGTGTCAGTTTTCTGTTTCCCACCTCTACCAGAGAACCTGCAGATCACACACTCCCTTCCTCTGGGCATCCAGAGTTCACCGTACATTGATCTCCTTAGACCAGGATTGAGATGCTTTGCTCAGCAAAATATCTGCCCTCGGACACAAGGAAGGGCTTTGTAGGAGGCACAGGCACAGGGGAAGTGCAATCACTGAGGCTCCAGGGCCCGCACGCACGGCTCAGTGTGACATTAGTCATGTATTCACAGGCTCATGGAGTCCGTGGGGGCCCTCCAGTCAAGGGCTTCTCAACACGTGTTGGGTAATTGGCCCCTTTGAGAACCTTCAGGTATCAAGGGCCGTGTCCCAAAGGGAAAGATGCTGTTCTTTAGGGAAGCAGGGGGATGGGTGTCATCTTGCCCTCCCATGTGTTAGTGAATATAAATTCTAGGTCTGGGGCTTGGGGTTAGAGCACTTGCCTAGCATGCAGGAAGCCCTGGGTTGAATCCTTGGTGCCTCATAATTATTATATTCAAATTGACTTCCTTTTGTTTCTCTTTTATATTACAGATAGAGTACATTGGTTTTAAAATTATATGTGTAGGTGGGTTACATTATCTGTGAGTCATGGGAACAATAGACATTATTTATAAGAAGGATTCAGAAGCACTTCTCTGGGGAGTTCCTAGGCCCCAGAAGGAAATCCGCACTAGCCTACTCCCTCATTTCACAGCGAGGGAAAGCCAAGTCTATTCTTTAGAGCTACTTGCTGGGAACACTCTGGGAGAGGTTGTGGAAAGCTAGACATTCTCAGCTAGCAGGCAGCGGTGCCCAGCGGGTCTCTTCTCCCAGCACCGTCTGGCCCCTTCCTACAGTGTCTCAGATCTTCCTGTCCACATTGTATCCTGCTCAAAGTCCATTTCATTCTTTTCTCCCTTCTTTCCATCCTTCGGTGAGCGTTCCACACAGTAGGCGCTCAGAAAGTAATTGGGAGAAGGTGAACCCCACCAAAATGTTGGCCTCCCCTCAGTACACCTGAACAAGGGGCAGAGAAGCCCAGGCAAGGCTGTGTTCCTACCATTGGAAGTGGATGTACCCCAAGGTTTAATTCTCTAGCAGTGGTCATGCTCCTTGCAGGGGTTACCTGGTCCTCAGAGGCATTGCCCTCCCACAGGTGAGCTTTTACCTAATCCTCAGATCTCCAGGCCCTGGTCTCAACAACCCTGCCTCCTAATGACTTCTGACCCTACCTCACTGCCTTTCCATCTGGGGAGGGGAATTTCATCCTGTGGCCTGACTCTGCTCCTCCATCGAATAAGCAGATCCCAGGCAGGTAAGGGTTCTTGTGGGGAACAGATCCAGGAAGCATTAAAATAAATTGAAGACTTAGTTCCCATCCTGGTTATGTTAAAAGGCTGTTTATCCTTCAGATAAACAGTGCTGGGGCCCTCCTGCTACCTCCCTGGCCTTTGAGGAAGTACTTCCTTGACCTTTGTCACAGCAAGGATAAATGCCTTTTCTCTCAGACACTCTGTGACTAGGAGCCTCTAGTACCTTCTCTTGGCATCCATGCTAACTACTTGATAGGAGAGAAAACATCTCTTATCTGTGCCTCAGCTGCTAAAGAAAAATCTACCGTGTGAGTGTAAAGTGCTTTCTCCTTTGTGGATGACAGTGCCTGGGCTGTGCCAACCCTTGTTCTGGGTGCAGCACAGAGTATGCTCGCCCCTGCGACTTGGCTGCTCACTATCACGGGTGATCCTGCTCCTCAGGGAGCCGGATTGCGCCCATTGTAGCCGTGGGGAGGGAGTACCAGCACTGCAGGGTGCTGGATGGGAGGGAAGAAGCAGATAACTGGGGAGTTAGTGCTGACCCCTCAGCAGCGGAGCCCAAGGAGTCTCCCGTCTTGCCCCATGGTCCCTGGGGACAGTCCTGCTCTCCTAGTTGCCCTAACAATAGCAATAATGATGGTGGCCGGTGCCGAGTTACATGCTCTGTCTCTGGCATCATACCCCTCGCCTCACAGATCTCATCAGGTGTGAGCTGGCACCTCTGTAAGATCCCAGTTGCAGCAATCGGGAGACACACTTAGGAAGGCTGAGTCCTTTGCCCAAGTTCACGCACTAGCCCATGGTCAAGTCCAGCTCAGATCTGAGCGTAATTCCCTTGCTTGTCGCTTTTCTGCCCATGGTCTCCTGGCTCTGTCAGGAAGAAAACTAGAAATTGCCTGGCTTGTGTGTAGCTAGTGTGTTGGTGCTTTTTTCACTGTACTACATAACACTGTAAAACATATTTGCAGAAACAGAGGCAAATGAAATCCCTCTGTAAGCCCTCGTACCCTCATTAGTGTGGATTTCCCAGAATTCCTTTCTGTTTATGCACTGTCCCCCTCAACCTCAGTGAATATGTGCCACACATGCTGTGTTTCGTGTTTACCTGCTTAACATGAATTAACCTCTTAACTGTCAGTGTGTTCTCTTTAATGACTACATGGTGTTCTGTTGTATGGATGGACCTTCCTATGGCCATGTGCTGTGTGGCTGGCTTTCTGGGCTGCTAGGAGCTTCTTGGTACCCCTGGCTTTATGTGTTTGTAATGGTTTCTGTAGGACACATTTCAGAAGTAGGATTCTGGGTCTAAAGGGGTTTTAACCAATGCCAAATGAGCTCCTCTAAGTGCTTTCGTTGTGTGTAAGCTGCCGTCTTGTGTCCTGTACCTGCTCTTTAGTCAACCTGGAGGTGGGTGGTTCTCAGGGTGTTCAAGGCTGGCATTTGCGGGGGGGGGGGGGCATGCTGTGCCTTGTGAGATCCTTACACCCCCACAGTCAGTTCTGCCTCTCGGGCTTCTAGGGGACAAGCATCCCTTAAAAATGTCTGTCTGCTGTCTCAGGCCTAGTTAGCCTTGGACAAAGCCTGTGCGGCCCAGGCTGGCCTCAACTTCAGGCCTGCTTCAGCCTCCTAAGTGTTGGGATTACAAGTGTGCTCCACCATGCCCAGCTTCCAAAAGCAGGAGTTCTGAGCCCGGTACTTACCTGTTATGGCAATCACCTCTACTTGGGAATATCAGAGGAGAGTCCCGCCCTGCTGTGAACTATCTGGCCCCCCTTAAGGAAGTCACTGCATCTCTCCAGATCTAGTTTTCCTCCTCTGTGTCAGGAGAGGTGACCTCATAGAGTGCCCCTTCCTGTTCTGACACTGAGGTGACCCGTGCGCTGAGGAAGAGGTGTGGTGTAAGCAGAAAGGTGATGGCGTTCACGTGTTGCCAGGACCCGGATACTTACAGATGCCTGGCTCACTGCAGGTGAGGGTCCCGTCCTCAGGAACCATGTGGGAATTGTACCTCTGGCTGGGCAGCACCTCTGTCATCTCCCCTGCCCGCTGCCGTTCCCCCATCTTGGTCTTCAGGAAAATCCCAAAACCCACGTCTGATCCCTCCGACATAAACTGCCACCTGCAGAGGACATCCACCTGTGTGTGTGTCCGTGCCCATGGCGACTGGGTTTCTTGCATCCCAGACCAGCCACTGGCACTGACAAAAGCTCAGGTCCCTGGAAGCACCCAGCCTTACCTGAGCACACAGCCCGGGAAAAGGATCTCGTACTCCACCTGGTGGGAGGAGCCTCGGGAGATCTGCACGCTGTGCTCATACTGCTGGTTCACCTGGTCCCGCACGTAATACTGCTTGGGGATGTCACCCCCATAGTTGATCTAGAAGCAGAGCACAGGGTGAGTTGGGGTGCCCACCTGAGCAAAGACTCTCCCCGTTGACCTCCAGCTGGTGGCCCATACCTTGGATTTACACTTGGGGTTTCCATCAGGGTCGGTCATAGTGCCTCCATACTCCACGGGCAACTGTTCAGGGCTGACATGTTTGAGTAAAACCTCCTTCCAGTTCGCTGGCAGGAGAGGGAAGGACAGAAAGGTGTCACTAGGCAGGACTTCATACCCGGTGGTCAGCCCTGAAGAGGCAGAAAAGGCTGGCCCTGCCTTCAAAGGAAGCATCATGGGTTGGTCATGGTGTACAGTTGGGCGCTCAAGGGGCTGCAGGCAGGAGAACCGTTAGTTTGAGGCCAGCCTTGGCTCCATAGTGAGACTGTGTCTCGGAGGAAAATGGAGTACTTCATGAGCACGTGGTGCATACACAGCACTACACAGAGTTAGAAAGAGCCATTACCCAGAGAACAACGCTACCTGGTCCAGGATTCAGAATCCTGGGCTGCTGTCATGGTGACCGACCACCAGCTCAGCAACCTTAGGGACCCGCTTCATCCTGAGCTGCCTACTGCGTGCAACTGTGAAGGCAGCTAAATGAACTGAGGATGCACGGGAGGACTTTGTAAATTACTATATTACCACACCCAGGAAACGATACAAACATTCAAATAAAAGCCGGATGGGGATGGGGGATGGAGGGGTCATGGAGAGGAGCATGCTGCAGGGCCAGAGAAGTCTTAAATCACATGTTCTTATCCAGTTACACTGAACTCCTGTCTTCTCCTACACTGGCTGAATGAGTACCCCGCTGGAGAGTGACCCCTCAAATGGGCTGGCATGGCTTGACCCAGCCAACCTCACTTCTGTTCTTGTTGTTTTGGGCTGGCTGACTGTTTTTTATTGTTGTTGTTTGGTTGGTTAGTTGGTTGGTTTTTCTGAAACAGGGTTTCTCTGTGTAGCTTTCGTGCCTGTCCTGGAACTCTCTCTGTAGCCCAGGCTGACTTTGAACTCACAGAGATCTGCCTGGCTCTGCTCCCCCAGTGCTGGGATTAAAGGTGTGTGCCGCCAATCAGCTTGTTTGTTTGTTTTCTAACCAAATCTTCTCCTGGTTGGAGCAACTAACTCTTGAGTGTCTGGTGCCAAGAACCATTTCCCCAAGAAATACCAACCTAGTGCAATGCTTTAGTACCGGAAACCACGCTGACTGTATAGACCGTCTATACCCAGCAGCTCCAGGCCAGGGACTAGCCGAGTATCCTCTGCATAGAAGCCTGGGACACTGACTGTCCTGTGTCTGCCAACCCTCAGGTGGTTAAGGATTCCCAAACCATGTGACTCTTGAGAACACAGTGCCTGAGCCTTGGGGTGATTTCATCGGCACTGCTGAACTCCAGTGACCACCCTGGAGTAACTTTGATCCCTCCTCTGTTGGAGATCTTGTTCCTACCCAGTCTGCCCAAGGCACATTTGGTTGAAAGAATTTTGAGTGTGGGAAGGAGAACAGACCGAACCTCCTACATAGCTCTGCTGCCAGGGAACCAAACCTGCCTCACACACTTGGTGGGTGGTAGCAGCAGAAAAACCAAAAACCAAAAAAACCTACTGCTCTCATTTTGCTGTTTCTTCTCCCAGCTGAGCCGGAGAGCTGGGAGAAAATCAAGAGAGGTCTTCCCATCCTGCACAGAGCAGCATTGGCCACAGCCAAAGCTGGGCTTCAGTACAGAAGTCCGGACATCCTTTTGTTTGAAATAGGGTCTCACTGTGCAACCCAGGCTGGCCTGGAATTCACTGTGTAGTTTCAACCTTCTTCTGCCTCCCTAGTCCTGAGGTGTCTTAAAATGCATTTTTGGTCTTTTAAAATTTTTATAGCTATTACATGTGTGTATGATTTGTGTGTGTGTGTGTGTGTGTGTGTGTGTGTGTGTGTGTGTGTGTGTGTGTATGATGTATGTGTGTTGGGTGATGCATTTGTGGAAGCTAAAGAACAACTTTTGGAGATTGTTTCTCTCCTTCCACTGTGGGATCAGGGATCAAACTCAGGTCATCAGCCTTGTATAACAAGTATGTTTCACCTGTGGAGCCAGCCCACACTCGTTTTGAGACAGGGTCTCACTATGTAACCTGGGTTGGCCTTGAACTTAGAATGTAGCCCATACAGACCTGGAACTGGAGATCCTCCCCCTCCAAAGTGCTGGGGAAATAGACATTCACCACCTTCCCAGTCCAAAGTTGCCACTCTCACTTTGTCTTAGCCCAAAGGTAAAGAAGCAAACCAAAATTGCCCCATGCAATGTGTTACGTAAAGGCAGCCCCGCAGACACCGTTGGAATCACTATTATGACTGCCAGTTCAACTCCAGAGCCTGTCCTGGTCCACCTCTGTAGCCCGTCAATCCACTCCCTGTCTCCAGTAGGCTGGTTCCTGAGTGTCTGGCTAGTCTAGGGTCATGAATTCCCTATGCCCTGGCTGGTCTGGGGTAGGCCTGGTTCCTGCGTGTCCGGCTGGTCTGGGGTGGGCCTGGTTTCTGCATGTCCGGCTGGTATGGGGTAGGACTGGTTCCTGCGTGTCTGGCTGGTATGGGGTCGTGCGTTCCCTGTGCCCTGGCCCTCTCCCCACCTCTCTGCCAGCCTCACTAATCACTCCTCACTGTCTTCAGGGGCTCCTCTTATTCTGCCTGTATTTGAACTTGGATCCTCAACATAGAGAGGTCTCGCATTTTAACCTCCTCTCTGCAGCCAGTTGAACTCTGCTGCTCGGCTTCCTAGGCAGGTTTTAAGTCCAGCCTTTCCTCCTTTCCCCTGACGCCGCTGCCTCGGCTTACACCAGCCCTTGCATGGGCAAGAGCATGGCGTGCAGACTGGTATCTGGCTTCTGTTGACCCTCGCTGCTAAGTACAAGTCCATTGAAAATCTGACCATGGCTCTCCCCGCCAAGCACTTCTCTGCTTCCTAGGGGCCTGAAGAGTCATGCCCCAGCCTCTCAACATGGTGTCCTGGTGTCTGTGTGACCTGGCTCCTGGCTCCTTCTGCAGCCTCATCTCTTGATGCCCTCTGCCTCACATTCCATGACGACTGCCTGCATCATCCTAAGGGAGGTCTTCACCGCTCAGTTCTCCTCTTTCTGCTTTGTTCCATGTGGCTTAGGTAGCCGCGGCTCTCCCCTCAACTCTGGTGGGGATGAATGTTGCTGCTAGGTGTGACTGTACACTGTGGTTTACCTTTCTTCCTTGTATCTCATCACGATGATGAGCATGTTTGTGCCTCCCTCCCCCGAGAGCTAGCCTAAGGACTGTTTTAATAATCCTGGCAGCCTGGCACCTAGTCCTGGATCTGGCACAGAAAAGGTATTTGTAAAAGTGGATCTGCTCCTGCTCGCCCCCAGATGATCTCCACGCACCCTCTTGACGCCCTTTCTAGTGCCTTCTGGTTCCTACCATAGCCTTCTCTCTGCACGGGTGTCTCCCTGTAACACTGTAAGCCCCTTAAGGATAAGCGCTGGAATTCCATTCATCTTGGAATTTGCATGGGGAGCCCAGTGCTTGCTTCCAGAGTATGTGAGAAAAGGTGTCTTGATGGAAACACAAGAAGACACAGACCTGTCTCCACTTGCCCCTGTGTCCCAACCACTCCCAAAGTAGAAGACAGGCCTTTGCCCTGCAGGCGTGACCATACCACCAGAGCCAGACCCAATTTGAACCACACACCAAGGTGGAGCATTTGGGCCACTTACCCCCCAAGACCATAATCTTCTTACGAGTGTCCTCACTTAGGAAGGGCTTGATGAGGTTATAGGCCACAGGAAACAGCTTGGGGGCTGGAAGAGAGACAAGGCCACGTGAAGCAGAGAGTGAGGGTAACTCAGGTGCCGATAGCATCATCCACCACCCGCCTCTGCACACGGGGCAGCTGAGCCTGGGGCTCAGCCAGGCAGGTCTGAAGTGTAGCCCCCAATCTGTACAAGGGCTGTGGCCAACCAGTCTCCTCCTGTGACATCACCAACCTGAATGCTATTGGGCCAGGTGGCTCAAATGCTCTGGGAACTGTAAAGCATCTGTACAGGTCAAGGTTAAGGTCAAGGTCAGGCTCCTGGACAGGTCCTTGGGTCTCTCCTTTGGCTCACTGTTCACTCAGTCTGCCCCCAGGCAATGGTTTGGGCCTCTTGCTCTCATTTGGTTCATCACCAGAAATTCCCAGCTTACCTTTAACCACAAACAGACGCTTTAGTGTTTCCGGATAATTTTCTTCGAACATGGAGAGAAACTGTGGAAGCAAAACGGGTCTCGTTTCAGTAGCTCAGGCCTCCAGGCCACGGCGCCCTTGTTTCCTGAGTCAGCCCAGCTGAGCGGTCCCTCCCGCCTCCACTTCCTGCCTCTTACCTCTCCATAGGCCTCCACTGCTGGCTTCCAGAGGTGCTTGAGGCCCAGTCCCTCACAGTCGTAAATCATGGTGATGGTCTCGATCTTCTTCCCCAGCTACAGGGAACAGACAGCGGAAGACGGATCACTGGCCTGCTGTAGAACTCACTGAATTCGGGGCCAGTGCTGACTACACCTCTTACAAACAGAGCACGCAGCAGAGGGCCAGGCTGGGCCCAGATGCAGCTTTTCAGATGCAGATGTCATCTAGGGTGGAATTGTGACCTAGACAAACTGTTCTCATTTGGCAAATCACCGGGGTGGCTCAAGATCACATCTGAGGTCCTCACTGTCCTGCGGGTTCTCCCGATGGTCTCTGTCTTGCTGTCAATCATGGTGGGCTTCCTGGACAGCCTTCATGTGGCGGGCGCCTGAGTCTAAACCACCCCTCCCGCAGACATAGATGCCCCATTCTACCTAAGCTCTAAGGAAGCATCAGGTTGAACCCCTTTTGTGTCCCCAGCCTCTCAGAGGTTCTGTACTGAGTGGGCTCTATTGTGAACTTTTGCAGATAACAGTACTGAGATGTCCCATGCTTTAACACATCAACTGCGTGTGTGTGTGTGTGTGTGTGTGTGTGTGTGTGTGTGTGTGTGTGTGTGTGTGCAGGGCAAGGGATGGCTCCAGCTTGGTCCTCAGTCCTTCTTCTCTTTTTTAAAAAATACATCTCTCTCTCTCTCTCTCTCTCTCTCTCTCTCTCTCTCTCTCTCTCTCTCTCTCTCGTGTGTGTGTGTGTGTGTGTGTGTGTGTGTGTGTGTGTGTGTGTGTGTGTGTACACATGGCACAGTGGGAGTGTGTAGCTCCAAAGATAACTTGGGGAAGTTGCTTCTCACCTTCCACCATGTAGGTTCTCAGGCTTGCTGGCAAGTCCATTTACCTGCTGAGCCATCCCTCCAGCCCCTCAGTCTCTTTCTTAGCAGGGAATTGTCTTGAAATAAACTTGGAGGAGCAGGGATTCTGGGTTCATCTACACCAGGACTACCCCCGGTCCCCCATAGCTGCCCAAGGGTAGTTTAGTGCAAGACAAGATCTCACTGGTCCCCACAGAAACAAGAGAAGTAGCAACAATGTAGTGAGGCGGTTTTCTTAGTCTTTCTGGGTTTTTGTGGTACTGAGAATTAAAACCTAGGCACTTTGCCTGTGATAGGTGACTGCATGTCACTGAGTGACATCTCCAGCTGTAGTCATTTATAGTTTTTTGTTTTTCTTTTTTAAAGATTTATTTTATTTATTATGTAAACAGTGTTCTTTCTGCAAGTTTGCCATATGCCAGAAGGGGGCATCATATCTCATTATAGATGGTCGTGAGCCAACATGTGGTTGCTGGGAATTGAACTCAGGACCTCTGGAAGAGCAGACAGTGCTCTTAACCTCTGAGCCATCTCTCCAGCCCTGTCTTGCTTTTTCAAGGCAGGGTTTCTTTGTGTAACAGCCCCGGCTGTCCTGGAACTCACTCTGTAGACCAAGCTGGCCTCCAACTCACAGAGATCTGCCTGCCTCTGCCTCTGCCGGGATTGAAGGTGTGCGCCACCACCGCCCAGCTAGTTCTTTGCTTTCTTTTGTTTGTTTTTAAGGTCTCACTGTATAGCCCAGGTTAGTTTCAAATTCAAGGCCCTCCTGCCTCAGCCTTGTGAATCGTGGGATTACAGGTGTATACCACCCAACTCCACCGCATCGGGTGGGGGCCCTGGGTGTGCAGGGTGAGTGTTGTACCCACTGAGCTCCGGCCCTCGCCCTGGTGAAGTTTTTATTAAGCCAAGCGTCTTCGGTGTAAAGAACTGCTTTTGATTCTCAGATCTTTCCTATATATACCATTCCTGTAGTTTGGGGGATTCATCATGGCAATAATAGATGGCTATTTTAAGTTTTTACTCAGCAAAATGAAAGTGTGACAAGGTGGGGATAGAGTTGAGTGGTAGAGTAGAGATCACTTGCCTACATGCACAAGGCCCTGGGATCAAACTCCAGTCCAAGGAATGGAGAGAGGGAGGAAAGGAGAGAAGGAGAGAGGGAAGAAGAGAAGAGGAAAACAGATGGATTGGTGACATGATGTTCATCTAAAACCTGGAGATTTCAGGTCTATGGAACCCAACCCCCGAGACTGGTAAACTGGTGTTTCTCTCCCTGCGTGACATTCCTGCTTCTCCTTGAATGTCTCCACCATGATCAAATCGCTCTCTATGGCAGACAGACCACCCACCTTTGTGGTCTGGTTGGCACACTCCTGCAGAAGCAGCTCACAGTCTCTCATCTTGGTCCTGAGCAGGTCCTGCTTGGAGGCGGAGAATAGCAGACCCTTGGCATCCAGAGGCCCAATGATGTCGTACCAGACTGGGCAGCCATCCAGGTCGTAGCCACACCTGCCGCCTGCCAGATACTGTTGGATCACCTGGCCAAGACATAGTAAAAGCACCTCGTGGACAGGCCTAAGACATCCATCCCTTCCTCTGGTTCACAAGTCTCTCCCTCACATCCTCCCCTGGGTGCCAAGAGATACCTGTTTTGGAATTATAGTGACTCCTCTGGCATTGTCAGACCTGTCCTCTGAGGCTCCCAGTCCAGTGGACCAGGGTACAGACTGTGAGTCTAATAAGCATCCTTACACAGGGATGGAGTGGGATAATTTGTCCTCACCTCTGGTGGCTGCCAGCTGATGATGTTGTCAATGTCCTTTTGTTTCCGGAATTCCACATGCTGCAAATACACAAAGATGTAGGAAGCACAAGGTGCAAGAACAGGTATGTGGTGGTAGGGGGTTATTGGATAGGAATGAATAGGTGATCGCCACAGATGACCCCCACAGAAGTGGAAAAGGAGGCCCCAGTTTCTTCCGGTATCTCAGCAAAATATCATTCCCGGCTGGTCAGGACGTAGGAAAGCCCAATGTTTCCAGGGAAGGAAATGCACTTTGTCCCTCAGGGATAAAGCAACAATTGTTGGCTAATAGCTACGTAACACAAACCAAAACCTATGATGGGGTGGGTGACGGGTAGGCAGAAGTCCAGGCAAAAAGTGGCTCTGACAGGAGGAACCGTAGCGGCAGAAACTCACCTTCCGGAGCATGGCCTCTGACTTCTGCAGGTCAAAGTTTCGGGCTGTAACAAAAGCATGACCGGGGTTGGCCATCAGACTGCATGTCTAAGGACCTGTTCCCAGGCTGGGGCCAAGTCCCCTCGTGGGTTCCCCCATCCAACAGTCAGATTCGTAAAACACCATAGCCCTGGGTTTGTGGGGTAGACAGGTCAAGTTCAAAGGAGTTGGGAGTAGGCAGTATTGCAACCCTGGGGTCAGAGTATTCTGATAGATAATCAGGTGAAGGGTCTTATCTCAGAGAAAATGAACCCTGGATCCTCTTATCAATCAGCCATTTCCCACAAGGACAAAATATATCTCCTCCACAGTATAGCATCCATCCCTGAGAAACTGACCCACAGTTCAAAGATGAACATAGCTGCCCCAGGAGCTGGGCAGAGCTGGCCAAACATCCTGGAGAGGTAGAAGAGTCAGTACGCCTCTAGGCAACCCTGACATTTCCCGAAAAGACCCACACATTCCTGAAAGAAGCACAGTGGGGTCTTGAGTCCGTCTACCTGGACCCACCCCATCAAGTTGTCCTGCTCAAATCTGGACCCAAGATTTCACTGTCCCCAGAGCTGCCATCTGCACTCATTTGTTGTAGGCAGCAGCCTACTCCAGAGGCACCCCAAGAACAGGGTTATCCCCCATCATACAGCAGTCCTCCCAAACATGAATTCTCTGCTGCCCCCCTGGGCCTGCCCTCCCATTGTGCTGTCCGTCCTTCGAGCCTCCGTTTCTCACACTCAGCTCCACAACACATCCTAATCACTTCCCTTTGGATGTTGTTCCCCGGGTCGGGGCCCCTCCTAGGTGAACTTTAAGCTAAGCCTGGGTGTTGTTTGCCCCTTCTCCAATAAGTCCTCAGAACTCTCTTGGCAACAGTCACACCTTTGGTTCAGGTGGCACTTAGAGTCAACTGAAACCCCAAATCCCTCACACCTGTGCTCTGGCTAAGCCTCCAATCCCCCCATAGAGAGAGAGGCAGGCCCTTCACGGCATCCTTCTCACATTTCACCTCTGGAGTTTACTTCCACCATTTAAAGAGTTACTGAGATTCTGATAGGTTTGGCCTCTGAGCTATGTTCATAGGTCATATATCTCTCCTGATTGTACATCCTCCATGGATTTAATTGGCATCTAGATCTGCTGATAGCCCTGGAACTGAACATCCAGGCTGCCCTTTGGGCTGTCTGTCAGCTGTCCCTTCATCATTGCTCTCTGGAAGTAGGGGAGCATACTCCCTGATTCTGCATTCATGAAGTCCCGTCCTCCATCTGAGTCAGGATGGTTTGTCTAAAGGTCTGACCAAGCCTAGGTGCGGTGCCTGGGTAACCAGGCCTGGCTGTGGTTCCTTGGTAGGCTGAGACACCAGGGTCTCAAGTTTGAAGTCAGCCTGGGCCGCATAGGAAGTTCATGCTAACTTGGGCTACATATTGAAATATTATCTTAAGAAAGAAAACAAAATGGTCAGTAAGATGGTTTAGTCGGTGGGCTGGAGAGATGGCTTAATGGTTAAGAGCACTGCCTGCTCTTCCAGAGGTCCTGAGTTCAATTCCCAGCAACCACATGTTGGCTCACAACCATCTATAATGTGATCTGATGCCCTCTTTGCCTCTTCTGGCCTGCAGGCAAATATGCCGAGAGCACTCATACCTAAAAAAATACATTAAAAAAGACGGTTCAGCGGGTAGAGGAGTTGCTGTGCCAGCCTGGCAGCCTGACAACTTGAGTTTGCTCCCCAGAACCTGTGCAAAGGCAGATAACCCCACAGCCATCCTCTCACCCCATGTGTGCATGGTGGCATGCACTGGCCACCCCACTCTCTCCCCCCCATCCTCCCCCCGACCACTACACATTTTAAAATACTTCTTAAAAACAAGAGAAAGGGTTGGCCAGGCCGCCGCCACTATGCATGCCAGATCCTTTCTGGCAGATCTGAACAGCCACTCTGGCAAGTTGGGCTTAGGCGTTCCCTCACTGCCACCCTTCCTGTGCCACCAGCAGCCCAGGGCAGCTGTTAGGGGAATTTAATGTGGGTCTTCGTCCTAGCTCTTCCTTCTTGTGTGTTTACAAGATACTGCGGTGCCCGACCGTACCACTGAAGGAGAATGTCCTTTGGAACAGAGGAGCCAGACCACGAAAATGAGAGTTTCTCACAGAAAGGACAACCCTCTAGAGAGGAGAGCCCTTATCTCCATAATAACAGGGATCCAGGAGTAGTAAACTGAGTGCCCTTATCTGGGACAACCTCTCCAGTTAACCCTAACTGCCAAGGTCCAACATTCAGGGTCCCCCCCCCCCATGTCTGTTGAGTCAGGTCTTTCTAGGCTCCTGACGCCCTGCTCAGAAGCAGCTGAAAGCCTGGCATGGAGCATTGCACAATAACCTGGCCCAGGAACAGCCAGGGTGGGCTCTGGTTTACTCATACCATAGCCCTATAAACTGCAGCTCACCTCTCATTTATGCTCACCTCTCTCCCAGGGCCCCTCCCACCTCTACTCTGTCTTGCTCACTGGCCTTCCTCGCTGGGGTACCCAGATCTCACTTTCAGCCAGAGAGAGGCAGTGGGCACTTGTGTGCCTGCTGGGGAGGGTCAGCAGAGAACTGAACCCCAAACTCACACCACATTCTACTGCAAAGGACTCCTTTAGAATCAATGGGATGGGGGAATGCTTTTTTTTCTTAAGGCAACAAAACCCCAATTCAAATTCGTAATAGGGTGTGAGCAGGCCAGAGCTCCTGCCCAGAAAATGTGAGGCACAAATGAACTGCAGAGGGAAACTTCTCTGCTCTCAGAAGCAGAGTTTGAAACTGGGAGTGTAACTCAGCGGTAAAATGCTTGCCTGGCATGCCCCAGACTCCGGGTTCGATCCTCAGCAGCTCAAAACCAATTACGAAGCAATGCTTGGCCTCAGGAGCAGTTCACTGGGAAGGAGTCCGCGGCTTACTGGAAAAGGTGCTGGCTAGGAAACCAGAGCCCTGGGCTCCACTCTAATTGGGCTTTCCGTTTCCTCGTGCCTTCAGTAAGTCCCTCGCCCTATAGGAGCCTAAGTTTTCTCCTCTGGAAAATGAGAATTACCATCCTATGAGGGTGGGGCTGGTGCCCGATGTGGGCCCTGACTAAACTATCAAGCAAATGGTTTCTCCCATCCCAGAACTCTGATGATAAAAGTTTAGTGTCTGGGAGACCAGCCGCCAAGACCTCACATTGGCCCGTGCCTAAATAAAGTAGAGCTGTGGAGCTGTTCAATGGGCCGCTCACGCGTCCCTTCCTTCTAGCAGCAGCTCCAGAGTTGGTTGGATCATCTTGCAGCTGGCCCTTTAAGGAGGCTACTACTTCCCACTCTCTCCACCCACCTGCTTCTAGCTGTAGCCTTTCAGCAAATGTTAGGCCAAAATTTCCTCCAGCAGAGACAGACTTCATTGCCACCCCCACACTACCCTCTCCCCTCTCCAGGTGGGCTGGGAGAGGGTCAGATTACAGGGAGGTGGGGTAAGGGTGAGCAGGTGATACTTCCAGGGGACCACGAGCCCCACATGGCTCTCCTGGGTACACCTGTCCTGCGGTGTTGCTAGCGGGCCTTCAAGGATATGCCAGCTTCATTACATTTCTGGAAAGCAAAAATTACATCTTTTTATCTATTGCAAGTCTTCCCGAGCTGGGAGATGTGTGAGTGTGTCTGCAGAGAGCAGAGAAGTCTCAAGGCAGGCCCTGTACTCTAAGATTACAACAGAATTCTACATCACAACTGGAGCACAGCTAGTCAAGCGCTCTCTCTCTCTCTCTCTGGTTTTTCAAGACAGGGTTTCTCTGTGTAGTTTTGGTGCTTGTCCTGTGTTCTGGATCTCACTCTGTAGACCAGGCTGTCCTCGAACTCACAGAGATCTGCCTGGGTCTGCCTCCCAAGTGCTGGGATCAAAGGCATGCGCCACCACCTCCTGACTCTCTCTCTCTCTCTCTCTCTCTCTCTCTC